CCGTGGGATAAGTCAGGTTCAATGACCCATATTCGTGTTAGTAAGAGCACAAGTTTAGGCTGAAATAACTCGAACAAGACTTAATTCTACTGTATAAATACGTTATTAATTCTTAAATATTATATAAATTTACCATAAAATATTATTTTAAATTAATAGAAATTATAATTTAAATGTTAAACTTACCCTTAACAGTAATGAAGCGCAATTAAATCCCCTTGATCTTATCGCGCGATTGATAACGTTACTGATGATGATAACAATGAAAGGGCTATTTAAAAATTAATTTTAACTTATCTTTTAAATTGAATGAATGCCATTTTTATCTCTTTAAACAAAATTTCTAGACTAATTTAACGTGTTTAGATAGGGCGATCCATCGTAATCTGGATTGCACGAACCTATCCTTAACAGCTGTTACTTTTCATATCCTTTTTTTTTTAATATTTAGAAAGGGGGGTTAGAATATTTGAAAAGCATAAAATCTCCTTTAATAATCATAAGATTAATCACGATTTTTCTACTTCAAAAAATCTTGTGGTCTTACAAATGTTAAAAGTAATACCTTCTTAAGGGTAAGTAATGCAGTCCAAAGTGAAATTTTTTGAGTTATTTTATAAAACAAACGTATTATAATGGTAAATAATTACTTTTCACAATAATTTTAACGCGTTTAATATATTAAATAACCTTAATTTTATGCAAATTACCCTCGCAATTTCACTTATTCTCTTGAAAATGTTAAACTATACGTCTTAAGGATAACTAATGTAGTCCAAACTTAGGTTATTTTGTAAAATAAATAATGTAAAATGATAAATTATAGATTTATGCAGTTGTTTTAAGGTATAAAATAGCATAAAATCTTAATTTTAAGAGATTTTTTTATAATATAAATTACCCTTTAATTTAGTTGTTGTTACAGAAACTCTCTATTCTTAATAGGATAATAAAGAAGTATTTTTACTAAAAGATTGCAGTTTGGTAGCTTAAATGGTGTAGAAAAAGTGTAAAAGTGTTTAAAGTTATTGGGAGTAATGCAGAATCGAATCAATGTCAAGTAACTGACTGACTATCTTGATTTGTTTCAACAGATTGAGTCATTATATGTCAAATCATCGAACTAACGCTATATATCAACTGTCTCAATTCCGATTCGTGTCTCAATAATCTTATTAAGCCATATTGGAACTCTGCTTTAGATAAAAATATTATGATATTTAATATAATAAAAATAATTTGTCACTAAAAATATTTGAAGTTCAATAAAATGAGCACAAAATTCGCATTATTTCCAGGAAAAATCCTTCTGTTTGCGAAAAAATAAAGACTTTTTAAGTAAAAAAATTATATATATAAGAATCCTAACTGATAGCAATTATAATTAGTAACATTATTCTCCTTATTTAAAGCCATTAAAGTTCTCAAACCATACTGAAAATCTGAAAGCGAAGCAAGGAACGTCAATTATATACATAAAAATAAAATTTACAGATCTAGAAACTTATAAATTTTATAAATAACAGGCCCTAATTTAGGCCTATAAGCTAAGTAAAAATTTCATATTCCTTTATGCCTTAAAAAAAGGCTTTTTTTTTTCCCCTATACTATTCAGACGAGCCGATAATTTCGTTACATCAGAACTTATTGAATTATTGCTACATATAAGTAACATTTTACAATTTATTAAACATTTAAACAGATTTTATTTATAATTTTATGTCTTAACTCCACACAATTCACAAAAAAATAACTGTTACATCCTCCCATTAAAAACTGATAGACGTTCAATGAAGTTGGGTTTATTTAACTCGAGTAGTAATAATTTTTTAGGAGGAGAAAAACTAAGAAGTGGAAGGTCTACGAACTTTATTTGATTATTATTTAATAAAATATATATATATATATATATTATATATGTGTGTATGTATATAATAAGCTACTATCATTCCCCGTTGTGAGATAAGCAAGGTGTTGATATTAATCATTCTAGAGTAACTCTACTTATCTGTAACGAACTTAGATAGTCATCAATGAAGATACACCATGTTTATCTAGAATTGTATCTTTCTCTAACGTTCTCAACAAGATGTAGAACCTATCTCAACAACCTGGCTCCATTAAATAATCTTCGACAGGTGTTTCTACACTACTAAGATTAATTTAAAGAAGTCTTAAAGTCATTTTAAATTCTTAAATTCATTAAAAGATTTTACTTATTTTAACCCCTTATTCACTAGTAAATTTTAATTGTTTATACGCGCCACTACCTTGAGGGTGTGAATGAAACCCTGTGATGCGATTATTGGATAGGATAGACAATTAACCGTCCCGCCTTACCCTATAGAAATCAATGTAGTGTGAGTATAGACCTATCCGTGGGATAAGTCAGAACAATGAACATCAAACTGATAACAGAGGGAGGAAATGAGTGTAATTTTAATACATCTTCATGAATGGTTCCTTTAATAAGCGGTTATCCTTTTAACACAAGGTTGAAATCATTAAATATATTCGTATTCAATTAGAAGCGTAATTTTTAATGACGTTCGAGTGATTAATTTGTACATTTTTTTTTTTTTAATTTAACCCTATTGGTAAGTTGGTTTTTAAGATGGTTAATGGTACAAAAGGTTTATGTAAAAGAATAGATCTTAAATTAAATATAATAACCATTATTTTTTAAGAAATTTATAAAGTTTTTGTCTTATAAGACGAAAATTTTATAAAATTCTTCAAAAATAATGGTTATTATATTAAGAGAAAGATTATTTTATGAATTCAATTGATTATAAAGAAGTTGATGTCTTACTACCGATTTGTAAAGTTATTTATGTAATTTCATGCATATATGCATGCTTAAATTATATCCAGGATGTAGTTAACAGCACCGAAAAACGTACGAAATGAAGGACGTGGGTTCGGTTCTTATACTGTTTCCGAGTGAGAATTGAACCTGTAGCATACCTAAGAATGTATTTCAGAACCGAACCCACGTCTTTCGGCTCTCTAAACATATTTTTCTGTCTATATCTGTATGTATTTCTTTATAATCTCTCCAAATAAAGACTTTTGATTTAGTTTTCAGGTCTTCAATTATAAGCATACAGACACATAGATATTTATTATATTGTTTGTAGGCATTTTAGAGCTTTCCGATCTTCAAAATACCTATAACAGGATTCAAGCGATATCTTTGCTACAGGCATATTTTTGGCCTTATAAAATTCAAAATGCCTATAACAGGGTCGAAGCGTTGCTTTTGCTACAGGCATATTTATATCTTTTACTAAAAGCATTACTTGAATCCTGTACATAATTTTAAATCAAGATGACTCAAAATACACTCGACAATTCAATTAATTTAAATAAATTCCTTAATGCCCTATTGGTTAATTATATAAATTTCATTTGTAATTCCTTCATCATCAATGGCTACAGTACCTATAGAATTTATTTAAGAGACTTTAAATGTTAAGATATTGTTACATCCAATCTAAAATCACCCCTCTCAAGGCATTGTAATTAAAGAATTATAATAGGCGATTAAAAATAATTGGAGTATTTTAATTTTCAAGTAGAAGATATTGCCTACTTTCAATACGAAGACTTTTCATTATTCTTATTACAGTAATAGATTTATTGAAGACATTTATGGTTTAGTTCAAGGTAATAAAGCTTCGATTATAACCCATAATTTGTCTACATCACGTTATAAATATCATATAGAAAACAGGGTTCATAAGATCGTTCTAGAAGTTGTAGAACCTATAAAAAAAACCTCATTAACTATTAAGAATATATTATAAAGTCAATAATTACTTTCTTATATTAATTATTTTACATATATGTATGTAAATAATTAACTTATAAAACTATTAAAATCAACTTATAATTGAACGGAGTGAAGACATGCTTGAAATATGTTCAACTTTTTTA